GGCTGGGGGTCTCGAGGCTGCAGTGAGCCCCCTTGCCAGGGGCTTCCAACGCTGAGAGCCTTCAGGAGACAGAGAAGCACAACGGACAGTAAGGGCCGAACCCCAGCAGCTCAGCTGAGGATGCTCAGGGCGGCCAAGGGAGGAGCCAAGGGAGGAGCGGGGTTAGATGTGCACAGGGAGCTGGGAGCGTGAGGGGAGTGGGTCCTGGGGTGTAGGACGGGTGGGGTGCAGGGAGGAAGCACTGTATCCCCCGGGGCCGTTCACGTTTGGGAAGCCGGGCTCAACACCCGGCAAATCCCCAGGACAGGGTGCTCACAGGCTCCTAGGAGGGTGGCCTGGGGGAACTCTGGCTGGGACCATGGGGCAGAGGTGCCCCAGCAGACCGTGGAGCAGGGGAGCAAAAACCCCCACCCCAGCAGGTCTCTTCTGCCACGGGCCCAGAGGACGCTGCACTTGTCAAACCCAGAAGAGATACCTGGGGGACAGTGCCAGGGGCGGCTGGTGATGGGAGATGCTGCTTCAGACCGTGTGGTGGCTGAGAGCCAATCGATTTCCTTCCCTGGTATCAGCAGGTGCCGCCCAGAGGGCGTCTGGGAATCCTTAGCAAAGAGAGTCAGCCGATGGGGACTTCTTCATAGCGCTGCCTTTCCCTGGTGTCTGGGGTTTTTGCTGTACAAGTAGCAGCACTCTGTACACGAGCTCCTTCTGACCCCCACCCAAGTTCATAGCATAGATAGACCTTTAGAAAAACTCCCAGACCTGCCCTCACACTCCACAGCAGGGCTGTGCCGGCTTGGCTCTCAGATCCCTTCTGAGGGCTGTTCCGTGTACCTCCAGCTTGGAGTCATCATGAGCAAAGTGCTCACCCTGCGCTCCTGTGCGGATTTCCCGGGGGGCAGACAGGGAGGGAAATTGCTCAGCCGCAGCCAACAGTGTAACATCAAACTTCAAAAGGTGTGCTTCACTCAGGTGGGGGACCTGTGGCTTGGGAGGCTGAGGCAGGAGGATTGCAAGTTAAAGGCCAGCCTCAGCAACTTAGCCCTAAGTAACTTAGTGAGACCGTATCTCAAAATAAAAAATAAAAACTGGCTGGGTATGTGGCTCGGTGCTAAAGCACCCCTGGGATCAATCCCTGGTACCTTAGAATAATTCCAGGGCTCCCTGGGTTCAACCCCTGGTACCTTAGAATAATAGCAGGGGTTCTTCACGTATTTGGAGCACTAGTCTTTTGTTTATCTAATCACTTAGTCTTCAATGTGCTTTCTGGGTTCTCTTCTTGTCCAGGGGATATGAGTTTAGAAAGCTGTTTTGGGGGGACACAGTACTCCACCACTGAGCCTCATCTCCAGGTCTACTTGAAAGACTCCTTTTTAAAATATATATATATTAGTTGTTGATGGACCCTTATTTATTTCTTTATTTTTATGTGGTGCTGATGACTGAATCCAGTGCCCTACACGTGTGAGGCAAGTGCTCTGCTACTGAGCCCCAGCCCCATCCCTTTGTAAGACTCTTGACAATTCCTGGTGCACGGCATTGGACAAACAGTGGCCATGACAGCAGGTACTGAGTGCTCCTCTGTGCAAACCAGGGCTAGGGCCAGGGTGAGGCCAGCCAGGCAAAATTCAAGAGGACACCAAAAACCTCCAGGGTACATGATCTTTATACCACAGTAGCTGTAAGGATCAAAATTAATGCAAAAACATCTATAATAAATAAAATACCAACTCTATGTGGAGTTCTGGGGATGGAGCCCAGGGGGACGCTACCAAAGAACTATGTCTCCAGCCCTTCTTGGTTTTTATTCTGAGACAGGGTCTCTCTATGTTGCTGAGGCTGGCCTCAAACCCGCAATGCTCCTGCCTCAGCCTCCTGAACCGTGCCTGGCCCATCATTTTGAGTGGACTTTAAAGTGCCTTCCGTGTTGACTTGCCTGATTCTCACTAGAACTCCAAGGGGGGAGCCCTGAGACAGATACTAACTGGTCCAGGATCAGGCAGCTGCTCCGTCACAGAGCTGGGGTCTGAGCCAGGTCAGCTACCTGCAGAGTCTACACTGTTTGCCAGGAGACTGTGGGAAAGCCACCTGCCCTCCCTGGCTTCAGCTGTCTCACGTGCCACTCCTCAAGGCCTGCGACACCCCACCTGCCTCACGTGCACCTGTGGGCCTAACTGAGATACTACTGCACGCCTAGAGGCGACCTCTGAACTCTGCAGCGCTGTGCGCAGGGTGGGGCAGGTGCACCTGATCAAGAGCACGGGGCCTGGAGGCGGCCTGCCTGTGTCCACAGCCCCGCTCTCGCATCCATCACAGAGTAACTGGCCACTGACGGCCTCTCTGTGCCTCAGTTTCCTCCCCTGTAAGAGGGGGAGGGGGAGGGTCACAGCTCCGTCCAGCCTGTGCTCGTGGGGGCTCTGAGCTCTGAAGCTCATTAGCTCCTCGTGGTCGTGAGCCGGGTTGAGCCTGGGAAGCAGGCTGGAGGGGCCTAGTGCCTGTGACTGCCATGTCCTGGCCCAAGGCCCCCGGGTCCCTTTGAGATCGGTTGGGCCTGGGCCTAGTTTCTGGAGGCTCCCCTGGAAGGTTCCACAGTGAGGCCCTGGAGACGAGGCTTCGGGTCACACGGATCCAGTCTGGCAGGTGATCCGAGGCCAGGGTCAGCTCGGCCGAGCACACCAGGCGGCTGGCCCCCGGGGGCTCGTGGAAGTCCCCGCACATTCGGCTCCTCCTCGTTATTTCGAGGCACCGGAAATCAAACCAAGGCCCCAGGAGGGTCGGGGTGCTCAGCTGACCTGCACCCCAGCCCCCATCCCATGGGGTGATAATGGGCTTTATTTATTTTGATTTTTTATTTGTTATGGGCCTTTATTTTATTTACTGACACGTGGTGCTGCGGATCGAACCCGGTGCCCCCCACATGCCAGGCAAGCGCTCCGCCCCTGAGCCCCCGCCCAGCCCGTGACTTTAGGAGCAGTTTTAGGTTTGCAGCGAAAATGAGCCTTGAGCACAGGGGGTTCCCACGCCCGCCCCCCCACCCACGCTGCTGCTGTGGTCTTGACAGGCGTGTCCCAGGGCCGCTCTGATGCGGCTCAGAGTCACATGGCTGCCCTAGAGACCCTCCCTGCCCCACCTCTGGCAATGGCGGGTCCTTTTACAGTCACCATTGACCCCCCAGCACATGGCGGCTGGATACGTGAACTTGGTCCCCCTGGACACGTGAATGAGGTCCCCGTGGCTCCGCGTCCTGCCGGCACTTGCTGGTGTCACCTTCCAGGCTCAGATTGGAGCCTGCTGTGGTCCCATCTTCTTCACTTACCTGCCCACTTATTCACTGAAGCATTTATTTAGCACCTGCTGGACACAAAGATGAACAAGACACCATTCCCACCCAGGCTCTACTATATCCAGGTGGTTTATGGCAGCGGTGGTGATGGCGGTGGTGGTGATGGCAGTGGTGGTGGCGGTGATGGTGGTGATGGTGGTGGTGGTGGTGATGGTGATGGTGATGGTGATGGTGGTGGTGATGGTGATGGTGGTGATGGTGATGGTGGTGGTGATGGTGATGGTGATGGTGGTGGTGGTGATGGTGATGGTGATGGTGGTGATGGTGATGGTGGTGGTGGTGATGGTGGTGGTGGTGGTGGTGATGGCGATGGTGATGGTGATGGTGATGGTGGTGGTGGTGATGGTGATGGTGATGGTGATGGTGATGGTGGTGGTGGTGATGGTGGTGGTGGTGGTGATGGTGGTGGTGGTGGTGGTGGTGGTGATGGTGGTGGTGGTGGTGGTGGTGGTGGTGGTGGTGATGGTGATGGTGGTGGTGATGGTGGTGGTGGTGGTGATGGTGATGGTGATGGTGGTGGTGGTGATGGTGGTGGTGATGGTGGTGGTGGTGGTGGTGATGGTGATGGTGATGGTGATGGTGATGGTGGTGGTGGTGGTGGTGGTGGTGATGGTGGTGGTGGTGGTGGTGATGGTGATGGTGATGGTGGTGGTGGTGGTGTGGTGGTGGTGGTGATGGTGTGGTGTGGTGGTGATGGTGTGGTGATGGTGATGGTGGTGATGTGTGGTGGTGATGGTGGTGATGGTGGTGGTGATGGTGGTGGTGGTGGTGGTGGTGGTGATGGTGGTGGTGATGGTGATGGTGATGGTGATGGTGGTGGTGATGGTGATGGTGATGGTGGTGGTGAGGCTGGTGATGGTGATGGTGATGGTGGTGGTGGTGATGGTGATGGTGATGGTGGTGGTGGTGGTGGTGATGGTGATGGTGATGGTGGTGATGGTGATGGTGATGGTGATGGTGGTGATGTGAGGCTCTCTCTTGCTGGGCTTGTTTTCCTCCTTCTTCTCTCAGTACGGAGGGGGGAACCCTTGCACATGCTTGACTGGTTGACACTGAGCGACACCCCCAGTCCCTATGCTGGTCTTTACGGGTATGATTATTTGACGCACTATATGCACCAAATATCTCTAAGGGCAGTATTGCTATAATTAGCCCCATTTTATAGATGAGGTAACCAAATCAGAGAGATTGAGTAATTTGCCTGAGGTCACACAGCTGTCTATAAGAACCTGGGAGTCCAACACAGGTCATCTGACTGACTTTATGCTATGGCCATGGGCATTCCTTGGGTTTGTTTTGTTTTGGTTTTGTTTTTTTGGGGCTGGGGATTGAACCCAGAGCCTCACGAATCCTTGTCCATGTTTAAAGTCCAAGATAGCTGGCTTTCGCTCATGTGGTCCCAGCATGAATGTGTTTGGGTGATAAATATGTGATCATTCTGTCTCCTCACCAAGTCTCTGTGCAGGGCAAAATATCACAGCAGGGTTCAGAAAACCCTGGAATCTGAAATTTCTTCACAAAAACTCCGAAAAGCTAAGTCTTCTAACTAATTAACCGGGTGTGCTGGGGATGGCACCCAGGGCTGGTGCATGCTAGGAGGTGTCCTACCGCTGGGTCACATCCTCAGATCCTCAATCAACTATTTAAAAAATCTTCTTAGTTGTAGATGGACACAATACCTTTATTTTTTAAAAAATATTTTTTCATTGTAGTCGGACACAAACCTTTGTTTTATTTATTTATTTTCATGTGGAGCTGAGGATGGAACCCAGCGCCTCCCACGTGCTAGGTGAGTGCTCTGCCGGAGCCACAGCCCCTGTCCCTCAGTGAACTGTTGAAAGTCCTGCACATTGAACCTGCCTCTGAGGAACTCTCAATATTGTGAAAACAGCAGAGGCTCTCAAAAGCCAGACAGCTGAAAACACAAACAAGATAAAACTATTCAGCACGGTCAAATTCAGCATGTCCCCCGATTATTTGTTCAGATAAATCATTTTTCATGTGGCAAGTGATGACCCTCGCCCTGGGGGGGAAAGAGTTCAGAAAGCACGAATTCAAGGCGAGCAGAAGGAAATAAATATCAGGGCAGAGATGAATAAAACAGAGAATAGAAAATAGAGGGAATCCATGAAGCCAAAGACATCTTCCTCCAACAGTTTAACAGAGTCAACAACCCTTCCGCGGACGCCCAGGAACAAGACGGAAGCTCAGTTCTCACACTCAGGAATGAGAAGGAGACACCGCTACCGACCCCACAGGAAAGAAGCCCCTGAGTGTGTCGTGAGGCCTGTCTCAGAATAGAAAGTAAAAGGAGGGCGGGGGGGGGGGGCTGGGGCCGGGGCTCAGGGTACAGCGCTCACCTAGCACGTGCGAGGCCCTGGGTCCCACACTAGTGCGGCCAAATGAACAAACAAAAAGGGTTCAAAAGACTAATGAAGGGATAGGAGACGATGTTGCAAGTCATATGTATAACAAGAGACCTACATCCAGAATACATCAAGAAAACCTATAACTCAAGAATAAGGGGCTGGGGTTGGGCCTCAGCGGTAGAGGGCCTCACCTACCATGTGTGAGGCCCTAAGATAAATAGGTAAAATAAAGGTTTGGTGTCCATCTACAACTAAATATATGTATATTCAAAAAAAAAAAGACAAACCAGTTGTAGAATGAGGACATATTTGAATTGATGTTTCTTTAAGGAAGAGAATGCCAAGAGGCACCTTAAAAGATGATCGACATCATTTGTCACTGGGGAAATGCAAATCGAGGCCACAGTGAGATGCCTCCTCACATCCACCAGGGTGGCTAAAATAAAAGGCAGATGATATAAGTGTGGGCAAGGTAAGGAGAAGCCAGACACTGCTGGAGGGAAAGTCCCATGCCCAGAGTCTGGGCAACCCTCAAGGCAGTGAGCAGGGGTCACCAACCAGGCAGCCCATTCCTGAAGCCCACGGCTCCACAGAAACTCGCCCACGGAGGTCCCTAGCCACATGACTCCTAATAGCGCCAAATTGGAAACGACCCAGATGCCATCGATCACTGGCTAAGCAGAGTGTCTATCAGTGAAATGGAACGCTCTCAGGCGTCAGAGGTCTGAAGCTGACGCGCACATGCTGCCCGCGGAGGGACCCTGGAGAGGGCCCGGTAACGGGGGAGGGAAGCCCAGGCACACACGGAGCAGCCTGCAGGCCTCCCGTCCGTGACAGGAAGGGGATCAGCAGTTGCCCAGAGCAGAGGGCAGGGGTGGCACAGGGACAGGAGTGACTGCTCAGGGGGACGAGGTTTCCTTTGGTGGTGATGAAAGTGTTCTAAAATTAGATGGTGGTGACAGTTGCCCAACTCTGTGAGAAACCATTGAATGGGCCACTTTACACTTCAGTGAGTTGTATAGGGTGTGAATCGTACCTCAATAAATCTGTTGGAATATGACAATAAATTAGGAAAGCAGGTGAAAAGACCAGAGAAAACAGGAGGGAGTAATTGGGATAGAAACCACCTGTCAGTTGAACTTCAGGGCAAATTTACGAAAAGGAGTGTGTGTGTGTGTGTGTGTGTGTGTGTGTGTGTGTGTTTAGCCCTTTTTTAGGTTTTATAGAGAGGCAGGGTCTTGCTGAGTTGCTTAGAGCCTTGCTGAGCTGCTGAGGCTGCCTTTGAACTTGTGATCCTCCTGCCTCAGCCTCCTGAGCTGCTAGGATTACAGGCGTGCGCCACCACACCTGGAAGAAAAAGAATATTTTTAAAAGAAATTGTAGAAAAGGCATCATTTCAGAGTTTAGATTCTTTTTCTTCTTCTTTTTCAGTTGTCAATGGACGCTTATTTTACTTATTTTTTATGGGGTGCTGAGAATCGAACTCAGGGCCTCACCCATGATAGGCAAGTGCTCTACCGCTGAGCCACAACCCCAGCCCTCTTTTTTTTTAATTATAGAAAAAAAATTAAATATACACCAATGTAAAGGGACACCTAAAACAAACCCCGGTGTCTCCACTCAGCCCGACGACAACTGACTCGCGGCCCATCTGGCTTTGGGCTCCCGCCCACTCTCCTGCATGGAATTTTTGAAGCCAATCTCAGAACCACAGAGCTTCCTGCCTGAGATTTTTGCCATGGTCCACATCTGGGTCTTTCTTGTGAAGACCTGAGTTGACTTTCTTTTGCACTAGAAGCGGGGGAAAGGCGAGTCTCCCCCAGCCATGGACTGGCCTCCTTTGCTTAGGTGATACTTTCTGTTTGGTCACAGGTTCCCTTTCTGCCGTGGCCACTGGGAGGCTCAGACCCCTACACTGGCAGCCAGACCCTTACGGGTCCTTGCAGGAGGCAAATTAGTGAACCAGCTGAACTCCTAACACCATTTAATTTTCTCATTTGTGCAGAGATGACGAGTGGCCTACCAGTTATCCATTCTGCCTTCTTTCCTAGTAACCAAGCCCCGATTTTATTCACACGGGTTTTGTGTACAGTTAAAAGATTGCGTTTCTCAGCTTCTATTGCAGCTAAGACTAAATTCTGGCCAACTGAGGTTTGGAGCTGAAACTTTCAAGAGTTTCCTTGAAGAAAGGTAAGATTACAGGGGTTTCTCCTTTCCTTCTTCTTGCTGCTTGAAATGTGGCTGCAATCGCTGGAGTGTCTGCAGTCATCCTGAAGCATGAGGTAGCCTTAAAGATGGAAGCCATATTCTAAGGATAATGAAACCGGATGCTAGAAGGAGCCTGATGTTCGATTCTGTGGTGCTACTGAACTTCCTCTCTCCAGCTTTCATTTATGCAAGAGAAGAATAAGTCCTATGGTGTTCAGGCCACTGTGATTTCTGGTCTTTCTTGCCAGCAACTGAACACAGTACCTGTGAGCTCCACTCCTGCTCTCCCTTCTCAATTCTCTCGAGCATTTGACTTCGTCTTGTGTATCGTTTTTAAACCATTTAAAACCCATTATGGACTCAGAGTTAAAATAAATAGTTTATTAAAGGACAGCGTCACACAACCGAGCACAGGCTTCTTATTTCAAAGAGCAACAGCCGAGAGCACTTGCCGACCCACAGCCTTGTGATCTGCACCCTGAAGTCTGGGCGGGGGGACCCGCTGCTCGTTGTCCCAAAGATGGGCACCACATGGAAAGTCCATTTCCAGCCTCTGCGAGTTCTTAAGCTGAACAAAAAGGGACCATATGTCCCGCCCTAGAGCCCGGGAGGCAGCTCAGTGCCGTGAGATGAGGGACGATCGGATTGCCACCGAGACGGGCCATCTGACTGGGGTGTGGGAGGCCTGGACAGGTGCCCGGCGGCTGAGCGGCCTCAGGTTGGCAGAGGTCACAGGTCACGATAGCTGGCGATCTGGCAGGGACTGCGTTTTGGGGAGCTGTTGGCGATTTGGTGTTTCCACTTAACGCATTCGTACCCGAGAGTCATAGCCGGACCCTGAGGTGGTATCGAACATATGCATCCCAGTCCTAGGGGGGGTCCTGGAGGCCCCTGCTGGGGGCCTGTCAACCCTCGAGGTGAAGATCAGAAGATGCCCGGAAGGTTCCGAGCCGGACAGGCAGGGCGCACAGGAGATTCAGATCAGGGCTGCCCATCAACCACCACGGAAGTGCTCAGTGTTTCAGTAACCTGTATGGGTACGCCGTTACCAAGTGAATATCTGCCCTGGTTTTGCATAAGTTTAAACATTTTTTTTTCTTTAAGTAAACAGTTTAAAAGTGGAAACAGATTTAAATAGGTGTGTGGAAGATGGAATCATAAAACATTAATAGTAATGACTCCCACTCTGGGGGTGGCCTTATTGCCAAGCACTTTATAATTCGTCTACTTATTTAACCCCTTCGATGACAGCCCCTCAAGGTAACTGAAACCCAGCTCAAGGTGGCTTGAGCAGAGAAGAGACCTACTAAGCTATGTAACTAAAAAGTCTGGTGGGATTCAGGCATGGCTGAATCCAGGGGCTCAAAGAGATCTTCAGAACTCAGTTTCCTTCCTGCCTCTCTCTGCTCTTCCTGTGGCTGATTTCACTCACGGGTGGGTTTTCTCTCCATGTGGTGGCTCTGGAGGCTCAAGACTAGCATCATCCTTCTGACACTATCAGCAGCACCAAGGCGGTTTTATTTCTGACAATTCCTGGGGAAGTTCAGGGCTCGGTCTCACTCAGTCGTCTTGGGGACACCCGCCCACCCCTGAACGCAAGGTGAAGGGTGATATTGGAAGGCTGCTAGACGCTCTGATTGGCGGGCCTGGGTCACGGGCCCTTCTCTGGATCTGGATGGGTTCACACTTCCTGAAATATGTGGGCAGGGGCGCGAGGGGTCACCGAGGTGCCAGGGAGAGGAGAATGCTGGGCACACAGAATACCGGGGGCCGACTCCAAATGCCCCATTTCATTAACAAGGAAGTGGAGCTGCTGCACCTGGTCGTGGGTCCGTGAGAACAGCCCGGAACAGAGCGAGTGACGGAGGCCCGTGGGAGATGACCAGCCAGGAGCCCAGGCCAGGGAGGGCCCTGAGGGCCATCGTAAGGACCGAACGTGATTCGACGTGGATCGCAAAGAGGATGGCTCTAGCTTTGCTGTTCAAATGCCAGACGGTATGCTGCGTCTATAACGTCTCACGTCTATTCCTGTAACGAACATGAAGTGGACACGGGGTCCAGACCTGGTCAGTCGGCAGTCCATCTCCTGTCAGGAGTACATGGGTCCAGTAAGAGCCAGTCCAAGTCCTTCTGCTGAAACTATTGGGAGAAATAAGCCCTTTCTACTAAGATCCCTCCCTGTCAAGACCACCCCTTCCTACGACTGCAAATGAGGCCAAAGTGAGGAGCCCAGAGTCAAGTGAGGGAAAGGAAGGAAGTCTGACCTGATGACCTTGCTTGACTCCTAGATCCAGCCACGCCTGAAGCCACCCCAGCCCTGGATTTCCCAGTTCAGTGAGTCAGTTCATCTCACTCTTTGAGTAAGCCACTTTGTGTTGCGCTTCTCATGATCACAGTGGAAAGAATCCTCAGGGAGACAACAGGTACCCTGACACCGATTTAGCGCTTGGTTCCAGAATCAGATGCTGAGATAGTTCTGGCTGAGTTCTGGCTCCCAGGGTGCTCACGGCTGAGAGAGGGAACAGCTAAGGACTCTCCATAAACCACAGTGGTTCTGCGTCTGCTTCCCCGCCCCGTTGGGATCAGAGCAAAGGTGAGCTTCTCCCGTTCTGTCGCTTCCAAGGGCGTCGAGGCCACGAGGAAGGAGCACCTGGGTCAGTGCTCCCTGACCTGCACCACGGCTGGCCGCGGCTGTGATTCCCAACAAGAAGGATGTCCCAAACCCAGGCTGGCACAAACCTACCTCCCAGGACAAATGACCTTCCGAGAGTCACCCAGGACGACCTGTCCCACAGACCGGGCTGGCAGCTAACCAGGGAGCAAACAGGGAAAGTGAGACCCTCAGCTCGGTCCGTCCTCGGATTCCCGGGGGTGGTTGGCCGGGGAGGGGGCCTTTGGCCACTGGCCGCCGTCTTTCCTGAGGCGGTGGTTTTCACTCTGTCCCCTGAAGGGCCTAGTCCACCGCCAGAGGACTGTGGCTGGCCTCCCTCCTGCCCACCAGAGGCCTGGTGCCCCCTGGGAAGGACTGGTGACCCCAGGGGCAGGGACAGGAGGACAGGGTCTGTTCCTCCATCTGCCACTCCTCCTCCCTGACAGGTGTGTCTCTGTGTGGAGGAAGAGGGCGGGCCTGGTGACTTGCCCTCCTCCTCGGGTGACAGGGCACGGGTGACTGGGCCACCTGAACCTGCTGCTCCCTGGGTCCCTGGTCCAGTGTCCTCGGCTCTGTGCCACCCGGCAGCCCCTGTGCCCGCTCCTGCAGGAGGCCAAGCGTGCACCCCCCCAGGCCGCCCCTGGCCCCCACTGTGTCCCCCGCCTGCCGGCCTTTGAGACCTCCTCGCCGTCACCCCGTGACACCTCCTGCACCCCCGTCTGCCAGGCACCCCAAGCACATCCTGGCCTTCCTCCGAGGGTTCCTGCACAGCCACGATCATCGTGGAAGTTAGTCTCTGCTTTGTTTTGTTCTGAGGTGGGGTCTTGCCCAGGATGGCCTTGGACTCCTAAGCTCAAGACATCCTCCTGCCTCAGCCTCCCAAGTGGCTGGGACTCCAGGCATGGGCCTCAGTGCCCGGCTCTTCTTTACTGGCCGTTTCTCTGTCCCGGCGCTGAGCGGAACCCCTTGCAGGGATGGATTTTCTGACTCCTCCCACAGGCCCAGGCTCACAGCGGAGGAAGCTGAAGGCAGAGAGGCCGGTTCTTCAGCAAGGGAGGCCGCACTGGACCAGAGCCCAGGGCGTCAGCCCTCTGTGGACACAGCCTGCCGCCTCTTTTCCTCGAAGCCGGTGGCAAATAATGTTTTGAACTTTGCCTTCTCGCCCGCCCCTGAAGGAGGCTCAGCCGCCTTTGCAGAGGCTGCCATGGAAGCCCTGCAGTGATTTCTCTGCAGCCGTGGACCTGGTCCCTCTAACCAGGGACTTGCATGTGCGGCAGGGGAGAGGGGAGTGGTCCCGCATGTGCCAGGAGACCTGCATGATGTCCCCCACCCCCCACCTGCAATCTCTGGGTTAAAGCCTGCACTCCCTTAAAAATCGTCCATTTTTGTTTTCCAAAGAGGTGATGGCGATCCCGTCACCGCGGCTCACAGAACACCTGCGTCCCAGAGCCCACCAAGGCGGTCAGATCAGATTCTGACGTTTTCTGCTGATGATTTTGAACCATCTCATAGGAAGCAAAGGTGGGCAGGAGGCCCCTCCTGCCTGCGGGCAGAGCCGTAGCTGAGGGGAGTGACTTCCAGGCCCTGACGCTCACTTCTCTTAGGTCACCTCCTCCTCCAAAGAGCAGCCTTGTCCTCGGGGATACGATTGCATGTCCAGCAAGCTCTGTCCAGCCTCGGGCTCCCCGAGGGACCACAGCTAAGGAACTGGAAGAAACCCCAAAGCCATGCAGAACAGCCACATTTGGTTTCTGGAAAAGCAAAGGATCCAACACTAAGAAGATGGACGCTGAAGATCAGGGTCCAGTGGGGCTCTGCCCCCCATCTTCAGTCTGAAATCTTCAGACCTCCTTCATACTTGACAGCAGTGGCTAAACACACAGATGATGAAGCCCCTGGCCTGGGTTCAAATTCTGCTTCCTCTTCTTGTGAGCTGTGTGACCTGAGATCAACGACTTCACTTCTCTGAACCTTGGTTTTCCCATTTGGGGTATAGGATCCTGATGGGCTCACTTCCCGGAGTACCAGTGAGGCTGAGCCGCCCCTGAGCTGCCCCTGATGCTCCCCAGCTGGGACAATGCCTGGGGCAAAGAGAGCACATGGCCAACCTTAGCTGTCGTCTCCATCATGATTCATTTGTGCACTTGGCTATTGTTTGTCTAGAATATCAACTCCAGGAGGGGAAAACTTTATGTCCCTTATTCCCAGGGGTATCCCCTGCCCTGGTGCAATGCCTGAACACGGTAGGCCTTCCGTGAGTGTCCACAGGAAGAACGAGGGATGAAGGGGTGAGGAAGTGAGGGGAAGAGGGCATTCCTGTCTCTCAGCCTGGGTTTGCTCATTTGTTAAATTGGAGATTTTTTTTCTTTTTTCTTTTTTTTTCGTACCACGGATTGAGCTCGGGGCACTTGACCACTGAGCCACCTCCCCAGCTCTATTTTGTATTTTATTTAGAGTCAGGGTCTCACTGAGTTGCTTAGCGCCTCACTTTTGCTGAGGCTGGCTTTGAACTGTCCATCCTCCTGCCTCAGCCTCCTGAGCTGCTGGGATGACAGGCGTGCGCCACTGTACCCCGGTTAAATTGGAGATTTTGATTTCATTCTTTGGGCTCTTCTGTGTTTTCCAATGATCGTATGATTGCTTTTTGCAACTGGAAGAAAAATCATTTTAAGAAAACATACAGGCTTTTATCAATAATCACCAAATTTGGGAGCACCCAAGATGTCCTTCAGTAAACGAGTCAATAAATAAACTGTGGTACATCAAGATAAGGTGATGTCCTCCTGTGGTTTAAAATAGGCTGTGGGGGGGGGGGCTCTCGAGTTATGGGAAGAAGCGTGACTGTATTGCTGGGTGGGGGCGTCCCGAATAGAGATTTACAAGTGAGGCAAACCTGTGTGAGAGGCAACATACAGTCCAGCCTGCGGGCGCACACCTGTGATCTCAGCCACCCAGAGGCTGAGGCAGGAGGATGGCAAGTTCAAGGCCAGCCTCAGCAACTTAAGGAGGCCTTGCCTCAAAATAAAAAGTCAAAAGGCAAGAACGTAGCTCAGTGCTGGGGCACTTACCTGGCATGGGCCAGACCCTAGATACCAAAAAGAAAAAGAAAAAAGGCTGCATTCCATGATTCCAGCAGGGTGGCATTCTGGAAAAACCAACCCTAGGGCCGAGTGAATGAATCCTTGGTTGCCAGGTTGGTGGGGAGGGAACGCAGGACGAGCAGGTGCAGCGAGACTGTGGTGCAGGATGCTGTGCTGGTGGGTGCACGTCACTGTCCTCCAAAGGCTACAGAGGGTGTAAAGCAAGGAGAAGCTCAATGCCAACGGTGGCTTTGGTTGACAATTAGGTATCAGGACGGGCTCACCCGTGTAACAACGTACCCACCAATGCCAGGTGTTGGTGGGGGACAGAGCAACTGTGGAAACCTGAAACTCTGCTAAAAAACAGTCCGTTAGTTCAGTGTGTGTGTGTGTGTGTGTGTGTGTGTGTGTGTTTGTGTGATCTAATGGGACATCCCCAATCTCCCACTTTTTAAATGGTGTGGGGAGGGGCCTAGTTTTAAGTCTCACTAACTGACTTTCAAAACACACGCTCCACACCGGCTGGGTCGTTTGGATTTATTCTTTCAACAGTTGTACCTTGATTTTTAGAGAATGTGTTCAAGGAGGAATGCACCCCATGGCCCACAATGATCTCCTCCTAGGACTTGGAAGTTTCTTGGAGAACAAGGGCCAGGTGACAGCGGGGGGCCACTCTGGACCTCTCCCACCACTGGGTGGGCTGGGCCTTAGGGTTCTTCTCTGTGAAATGGGGTTGATTCCAGTGGCGACCTCCTTGGACTGTGGTGAGGGTCATATGAAACAGCAAAGTGCTTGTGAGAAGCTGGTGCGGCAACCGCCCTGGGAGGAGCCTGTGATTGGCACGGAACATGGCGGGAGTGGGGGGTGAGGAAGGCTTTACCAAGGGCCTTGAGATAAGGTGGGAGGAAGCCTTCGTGGGAAAGTCCCCCAAGCCAGGCCCGGGCGCAGTCTCCCCCCACCACACCATCTGGGGACTTCAGCGAACTCAGTTGGGAAGTTAAGTGTGGGGTGGCAGCCGGGGTTTTGAGACCCTCTTGTGAGGCCCCACTTTTGGGGGAACTGGTCTAAAAAGTCTGGGGGGAGGAGCTGAGAAAGAAGAGGTCCCAGAATTAGTGTGTCTCATGATCAAACCCCCAGAACTGTGTCTCCAAAGACATTGTCACCGTGAAACCCCAACCAGGCTGTCACTGAAGACAGAGACCCTCAATGTCACTTCTTCCAGGTGTTGGAAGGTCCGGGCCCATGGGTGGGGAACTTCAGGGCACCACTGGCCCCCCCAAGAGTGCTGGTGTACTTCCAGGTGACAGTGACCTTGGAGCAATATGGCACCCGGGTGGCTGGCCCTTTTAATGGGCCATCTCCTAATTTTTAAATCTTGTGATGGCCAAACCGTCCTGTCTGGCACTGGACCTGACTCCTGGGCAACTCCAGGCTGGGCGAGGTGGTACATGCTTGGAATCCCAGAGTCCTGGGAAAGGGTCTTGCTAAAGTGGCTGAGGCTGTCCTCAAACTTGTGGTCCTCCTGTCTCAGCCTCCTGAGTTCCTAGGGTTGTGACTGTGACCTCATTTTAAAGTGCACACTCCAGGGGCATTAAGTACAATGACACATTTGTGCAACAGTCACCACCATCTACCCCCAGAAGTCTTCATCTTGCAAAACCGGAACTCTGTCGTCACCAGATGGTAAGTCCCGTCCCCCTCCCCTCCGCTGAGTCTCACTGCCCCGGTGCCCTCTAGGTGGAATCACCTGGCCTTTCCGCTGGCCGCTGGGCTGCTTCACTCCCATGACGTCCCGGGGTCCCTGGGGTCCGCTGGTCGTGGCATTTGGCAGGATGCCTTTTGAGGCGCACCACCCACTGTGGGTACAGGGCTGCCCGGGTTCGCGGTGTTCTGCGGGTGTGCATCCCGGGGGCTCCCTCCACCTGCTGCTGTGGACACGGACGTCGGGATCTGTCCCAGCCCCTCCCTCCAGTTCTCTGGGCCCATACCCAGTGGGGGACTTGCTGGGTCACATGGTGGCTCTATTTTTAATTTTTTGAGGAACTGCTGTGATCTTTCCACACCCACCGCTCTGCCTCCCTCTCCACCAGCGGTGCCCCGGGCTCCAGTTTCTCCACATTCCTACCAACACTGTCGATTCTGGTTTTTTGTTGTTGTGTGTTTTGGTTTTTGGTCCTGGGGATTGAACCCAGGGGCCTTAACCCCTGAGCGGCATCCCCAGTTTTTGAAATTTTTTATTTTGAGACAGAATCTCATGAAGTTGCTTAAGGCCTCACTAAGTGCTGAGGCTGGTCTTGAACTTGCGATCCTCCTGCCTCAGCCTCCCAAGTTGCTGGGATCACAGACCTGTGCCTCTGCACGCGGTTCTCGTCTATTTTTTGTGTGCTCGCCCTCCTGATGGGTGAGCCAGGGCCATCCTGATGTGCACCTGCAGGGTCTTCCTCCAGGGTGGCCGCAGTGTCCCACCATGGGAGGATCCTCGGGGGCACTTGGGGGAGCTTGGGGATGGCTGGACTTGAACTGAGGCTGTCACTGGTTTGTCTTGTCCTTGTCCCGTTGCCAACCTGTTGGGTCGACCTGCCAAGAGCCACGAAATCCCCAGGTTCCCTTCATTCCCGTTCACGCTGAAGCCCAAGTGGGCTAAGATCCTGCCGTTGGTAGCAAGCAGCGCGCAGGGAGGGCCTGTGGGCTCTGGGGTTGGGACCAGGACGGTCCCAGCTGCCTGCTTCACAGAAAGAGACCCAGGAAGGGAACCGGGGTCTGATGGTGGGGATTCAGAACCCCAGAGCCCCTGGAGGCTGCCCTGCTGCGAGGCCCTTCCCAGCCGGCCTCCTTCCAGGGTCCTGCCTGCCCACTCCCAGCAGGAGAGCTGGCCTGTCCCCGAGGGCTGAGAAGCCCCCCAGGTGGGGCCTGCTCTGGCTCCCTCCTTTCCCACCCCCAGAGCCTGCCTCGGGCCTGGCCGGGAGAAAAGTCTCCCAGCTCTGGGACAGGTGAGTGGGTGGAGTCTGTGGGCCTCACCTGACGGCCCGGGGCAGGGCCCGGCACAGGTGAGCACAACCAGGAACCCCGGGCGCAGAGGAAGTTCCAGGTCTGGAAGGTGGAGGGGGCTGTGGAGGAGAAGGCCTTCCTAAAGGAGATCTGGGCTTAAGGCGCAGCCCTGCCAACGGCCCGGAGCCCCCTGCTACGGCCACTGCCCGAGACTGAATCCCTGTTCCTCACAGTGGCCTGCAAGACCCGCAAGGTCTGTCCCTGGCCCCACCTCTCTGGTCACATCAGCGCTCTGACGGGCCTTGGCTCTCTGCCCCTCCACGCTTGCTGCAGCCACAGGACCTTTGCATTTGCCACCTCTTGGCCTGGAACCCTCCCTGCCTGGCCCCGAGCACAGCTGGTTGCTTGTAAGCCACAGGCTCACGGGGTCTTTCTCCGACCCCCGACGTTGGTTCTGCCGGTCCCTGTCTTATTCCATTCATAGTCTGGTACCCTCTGAAGTTACCTGTGCAATAACTTACAGGTGCTTATGGTCTTTCTTTTTCTCTCTCTCTAGAGAAGATGTCGACTCTGCGAAGCGGCCTGCGTGCCTCCCAGGAGTGGTCTCACTCTCTGGCACCTCAGATGCCCCCACAGGGGACAAAGCCCCTTTGACTCTAATTGACAATGAAAATCACAAAGAAGGCGCTCGCTCGCTGAGAGCCAAGAGGCCAGTCTGTGGGGAAAGGGCTTATCTGACACATTCCGTTCACTTTGCAGAGTGTGCCCCCCCCCCCAGGCACTCAGAGACACTCTCTCCCCCTTCCCGCCCCGGGGGAGGTAACCGCTTCTTAAGGAGGAAAGAATATCCACTCGACTTTCTCTCATTTCCACCTGGGAAGGGGATGTTGGACGTCTGTTGTGATCCTCAGCGGATCCTGGAGACCTGGGCTCTGGCAGGAATTTGCTACGTGACCTTGGGCAGTGCTCCTCCCCTCTCTGGGCCCTACTTTTCCATCCCTCAAATGAGAGGGTGGAAATGTCTGAGACTTGGGCTCTCTCAACGTGGTATTTAGGAGAACACGGCGTCACCAGGAGGAGGAGAAACCACACTGTCCCAAAGTGCCCCTGCCGTGGGTCTCGTCCAGGGCGTCCATTAACAGCCCTCTCACTGGTCTCTGCTCAGCCTCCCAGAGCTCTTTCCCACCCATTAGCTCCCTGCGGCTCGGGAATGGATGGAGGACCACCGGTCTTTGTCCTCACTCGGTCTGACTGAGAGGAAAGGGGCAGAAAGCAAAGCCTCCCCTGCCTCTGCAGACTTACTGGCTGCCATGCCCTCCCTTGATTCTGCCTCAGGGCCTTTGCACACGACACTCATTCAGCCTGGGACCCTCTTTCCCCAGACACCTCACTTCGGTAGCTCTTCTCTCGAACATCTCCCAGAGGCCTCCTCTGATCGCGCTCTGTTCCCCTACTGTTTGATTTTTCTCTGGGCTTTGCTTTTCTTTCTTTCTTTTTTATATTTTTTAGTTGTAGATGGGCACCGTGACTTTATTTTATTCATTTATCTATTTGTACGCGGTTCTCAGGGCCAAACCCAGTGCCTCTCACGTGCTGGGCAAGCGCTGCCACTGAGCCACACCCAGCCCCCATGGCATTTCTGGAGGCTTGACAGTGGACACGCTCTTGTTGACGGTCTGTCTCTGGAATCCAGTTCCATGAGTCGAGGGCTCTGCTCGGTCTTGTTCATCGCTGTGTCCACGGTCCCCAGCAGGCGCCTGGAACAGGGTCCAACGCAATAATTTCGGAACCAAATTTGTCTCTCAGAGATGCAGAGGTGAAAGTGACCTTAAAAGATGGATTTCACTGTCCCCAGGCCCAGTCTGGTGGCACCCCGGTGGGCCTCTCTTCTGTGAGGGTCTCAACAGAGATGGAGATTCTGAGAAACAAGCCAGGTTCCGTTTTAGCTTCACGATAACAGTGGTGGAAGGAGAGGTGTTGTCAGCAGTTTTGGGGATGGAGCACCCAGGGGTGCCCTACCACTGAGCCACACCCCAGCCTTTTGTAATTTTTTATTTCGAGACAGGGTCTTTCTAAGTTGCTGAGGCTGGCCTTAAACTTGCAATCCTCCTGCCTCAGCCTCCCAAGTCACTGGGCCCCTGTGCCCAGAATAAAATGGTCTTCATTGTGGCCGAGGCCTCTGCACTTTCTTCTCTAGCCCTTTCTCACCTTCTTAAGGGGTGGGTGAGACAGAAAAAAAGAAAAAAAAAGGCAGGATGTTGCAGATGAATAATATGAACAAACGCTAAAAAAGAGAGACGGGTCCCTGGGCCCAGGAGCAGGGGTTCCCAGCTGTCTCACTTCTCCATAGCATAGGTCAGTAACGGGCGTGGCCACTCCTCAGGGACAGCCAGGAGGCCGTTTACAGCCGAGGAGCCTGGGGTGCTGACAGGAGGCCAGGGCGGGGATCCAGGTCACAGGCCAGGTCAAACCCAGGGGGACAGGTTCACCCACACCACCCACTCTCGAGGCCCCGAAACCCCTCCAGGAGTGAGATCCCCTGTAGCTGAGGCGAGGAGCAAGGCCTCCGGGGCCAGACGCCTGTCTTGGAAACTGTGCTACGTGACCTCGTGTGAGCACGTCACTGCTCTGTGCCTGGTCTCAGCTGGAAAGTGGGGTGAAGGTGACGGTGACAATGATGGTGTCTGTGTTCACGAAGATTCACCCAAGGTGCTGAGGATGGAGACCAGCCCAGGCTGGTGGTTTCTGGTATCATCCTGTGGCACACACGCTCCGTGTCCCTCACACAGGCACCCCAGGCCCAATTCCGGTGGGCTTCCTGGAGGAAGAGGAAGAGCCAGCCGCAGCTGAGTGGCAGACCTGGGGCCAGGCTTAGATGTCCTCCCTGCAGGAAGTCTCCCACGTAGCGGGCGTGGCCACCCCAGCTTTTACCGCCCTCCCCCTCCACACTCAAGCTGGCTCCCCACCAGGTCATGTGCCTATCCCCTCCGTCCCTCTGTGTGTGACTCAGCCTGGCAGCTGGACCGAGGGTGGGAGGAGAGCATTGCCAGGGGCCGCTCGGAGCAGCTGCCTGACTGCAAAGGTCGGGGTATTGGGTTTCCCTGTTGTCCCCTCTCCCTGGGAGACAGGCACGGGACTCCAGCTCGGGAACCACCCGTCACCTGCTCCAAATCAGGGCTCGGCTATAAGGCGTCTTCTCATGGAGTGCTTCCCGCCACCGAGGGCTGAGGGCAGCCAGTGCTATTTTGGTCATTGCTATGGAGTGAGGCTCACTGAGGCCCAGCGTCCTGCTTGATGTCCCTCAGCTGGTGGGGCTGGGACCCAACCGCGGTTTGCAGAGTTCAAGCCAGCAGCCCGCCCACCCGGACACAGTGCAAGCGCGTGTGCACATGGTGTGCCAGGCAGGGGGCCCGGCGGTCCCCGTGGTCTGATTCACATCTGCCCATCACGAGCACAAGCTAGGCCGTTCACATTTGTGTACTGTTGTAATTTACATTTTCCATTTATTTTTTAAAAGGGTTTTAAAAATGATTGTATTTAAAATAATGATTTTGAAGGAGAATTATAACTTTGGGGCTTGTCTTTTCTGGAATTGGGATAATCTCTGAAAAATAAATAGCTCATCACTTGCCACATTTCCAGGAGCTCCCGTCCACTGCTCGTTACATATTCCTAGGTGTTCCAGAAGGTAGGAAGGAAACAGGGTCTGTCCACGGATCAGGAGATCAAGCCCAAGATCAAGCGGATCTTCTGATCCGCTCTGTTTCCTTGACAGTGGTGGCCAGGCCATCTCTGTGACCCACATGGGTGTAGGAACCCCTTGAGGTCGCGATCCCCACACCGACCCTCAGGTACCTGGAGACAAGCCGCGGACAAGCCCTGCTCCTTCTCTATTGCCTCAGAGACAAACTCTGCCTGAGATCCGCGTGGGGAACCGTTCTTAAACCAGCAAAGTCGGGCTCCCACCCCGGGAGGACCTCTGGGGCAGTTGGGGTCGTCTGCAGACTCCAGGCGGCTCAGGCTCCGTGACTCTGGGCTTGGTAGGTTGCCGAGGCAGGGTTCGCCCCAGTGAGTGAAGTGACGGGGGAGGTCATCTCTGGGCCGCTCTGTTCTGTTTTAATCTTTGTTGTTGTTGTTGCACCTGACAGCAGACGCCTGTCAATTCCTCGCGCACAAACGGGGCGCCACAGGGCTGGGGTGGAGCTCCGGGGCAGAGCGCTCGCCCACCGCGCGTGAGGCACCGGTTCGATCCTTGGCACCGCATGTTATTGTGTCCACCTACAACTAAGAATAAATATCAGCAAACAAGACGAAACAGACGGAGCACGACATTTCAATTCTCTGGTTGTACCCGGTGTAGAGAGGCACCATCCGTGCAGTCGTACGTGTACCACCATCTCTCCTACCCCGTACCCCTCCCCACCTCCCCTTTGCCCAATCCAAGTTCTCCCCCCATCATAGATCAGCAGCATCCACTAATCAGAGAAGACATTCAGCCTTTAGTTTTGGGGGGGATTGGCTTACTTCACTTAGCATAATCTTCTCCAACTCCATCCATTTTATTCTCTTTTAATGCCACAGTTTTATTCTCTTTTAATGCTGAGTCAAATTCCATTGTGTATATACGCCACAGTTTCTTATCCTTCATGGATTGATGGGCATCTAGGTCGGTTCCACAGTTTAGTCACTGTGAATTCAGCTGCTATAAACATTGGTGTGGCTGCGTCACCATAGTATGCTGATTTTAAGTCCTTAAAGTGGGACAGCGGGGTCAAACGGTGGTTCCATTCCCAGTTTTCTGAGGAATCTCCACACTGCTGATTTGCAGTCCCACCAGCCGTGTAGGAGTGTGCCTGGTCCCCACCTCCTGTCCAACACTTATTATTGCTTGTATTCTTGAAGATTGTCATTCTGACTGGGTGAGATGAAGTCTTCGTTTTGATTTGCATTTCTCTGATGACTAAAGATGTTGAGCACTTTTTCATATATCTTTGATTGCATGCATATCTTCTTCTGAGAAGTGTCTGTTCAGTCCCTTAGCCTGTTCACACACTGTTTTGTTTTTTTTCTGGAGTTAAGATTTCTGAGTCCTTCATATATCCTGAAGATCAGTGCTCTACCTGATATGAGTGTGGTGAAAATTTCCTCCCATTCTGTAGGCTCTCTCTTCACCTCATGATTGGTTTTTTTTTTTTCTGAGAAGAACCTTTTTAGTGTGAATCCATCCCATTTATTGATTCTTGATTTTATTTCTTGCTCTGTGGGAGTCTTGTTAAGGAAGTTGGGGCCTAACCCAACATGAAGGAGATTTCTTTTGGCAGAGACTTCTTTAGGGCTCCTGGGAATCATGGCCATAACTCTCCATCCAAGGGTGACTCAGCTGCCCACGAGGGCCAGTTAGGTAGGGTCTGTGGACTGTTAGATCTACGCAGACTTTTTAGCTATTTTTTTTTTCTTTTTTAGAAAAGGTGCATACTCGTAAAGCACATTTGGGCTGAAATCACACCCACAGTCTCTGAGTTTGGAGCCTATCGTGTCCTCAAAATGCCTTTTCAATGTATTGGCCGATGGATGACCCCACACTGCCTGGCGAGGTCTTAGGGTCCTTCCTCTCCTAATGGTCAGAGGCCTGAGGGAACAGGTCTCCTACTTTACAGATGAGAAAACTGGATTCCAAGTGGCGAATGGGCGGCTTTCAGTATTTAATACTTAAAGTTCATACTGAAGTCAGTGTCCAATGATGGGGGATTCAACCTAAATGCCAAGGTCCAGCTACTTGAGCAAGAAGGGGACGAGGATATAACAGAGAGCTGGTGTCAGCCAGCCTGCACCCTGTGACACACGAGCTGGTCATGGTGCTAATGTGGTCCACAGGACCAAGGGAAGGTCACGGAGGGGAAGAGGCTGAGAAGGACCTTGGCCCTGATCTCCTTCACCTGAAGCAGGATCTAGACCAAGGTCAGCAAATGCCTCCTTTTCCAAAGGGCCCGAGAGCTGATATCTCAGGGCTTGCAGGCCCCACCGTCTCGTGGCAACTGCTCCACTGAGCCCCCGGAGCACAAAGCAGCCATCCACAGTGGGCAAACCAAGGGCCGTGTGCCAATAAAACTTTATTTATGGACGCCGAGATCTGAATTTCATATCATGTTCCTGGGACACAAAACAGTCTTCTTTTGACTTTTTCCTCCAGCCACTTAAAAATGTAGAACGGTTCTTAGCTCACAATCTGCTCAGACACCTGCAGCGGCTGGACTGGGCAGGTGGCTGGAGTTGGCGCAGGGGAGGGGTGAGGCAGGGGAGGAGGGTGCAGGTGCAGGGTGGGGTGAGCCCCAGCTCCGCCCGCGGGCCCTGCAGACACGACCTTGACACCAGCACCCCGGCGTACCCCAAACCCACGCAGCAGAGCTCTGGGTCCTTAAAGTGAGCCGTTTTTTCAGATAGGCCCCGTCTGGCAGAGTTCTCAGAAGAGCAGTCGACAGCTCACTGGAAACCCCCAGCCCAGCCAGCCCGGGCCCTTGTCCTTCTGACTTCTGCCCCAAAGGTCACTGGTGACTTCCTCGCTGCCAAACTGTACCGGCTCCTCTGGGCCCTGTCAGGGGCGGCCGGGGGCTTTTGGAGCTGCTCACCAGCTCGGCTTCTGGGAACTCCATCTTGTCAGGGCTCCTGGGAAGCCACTCCTCAGGCGTCCCCCGCCCTCCCGCCTGCTGGGCAGCTCCTCCTGGGCCTGGCCCCCCTCCAGCAGGGGACAGAAAGCTACCTAGGGCCAGGGAGGCGTGGCCAGCAGGACCGTGGTGCAGTGTGTTCTTGAGACCCAGTGCACTTTGGTGGCTAGAGTTTTGACAACAGATTTGACATTTCAGGACTTATCACTTGACATAGATGTGGGTCCTCACTCCCCTGGTAGTGGCTACTCTTATTATTTTTTTCAGGTGAGGAACAGAGGCACAGAGAAGTGGAGTGACTTGTGTGAGGTCACGCAGCTGGACAGTGGCAGTCGTCAGGTGAGCCCGGGGCATGTGGCTCCGGGAGTGTGTCCAGGACCTCCCCACACAGCCCTGATGCCGCTCTCCCCCCTCCAGTCCCATTGGCCATCACATGGCCTTCTCCCTGCTTACCCAGGTCACTCCTCTCCCATTTTCTCACGTGGACGATGTGTTCCCGTCCTCGCGGGATCCAGTGACAGAAATCCCGACTCTTGGGGCTGATTTTACCAACATTTAGAATGTGCAGACCCTGAACCCAGCCATTTCTTTGTGGGTTACTGTCCCAGAGAAACACGGTGCCCGAGGAGAGGAGCATAAATACAGGACACTGTCCAGGATGAGAACTGGGGAGCAACCTGAGTGTCCACCCACGGGGGACACATGACAGAGTGTCCTGGGGGCCAGGTTCCAGGAGGAACAAGGGCTGCACCTGCCGACATAGAAAGAGCTGAGCTCTATTTGTGGACATGAAAGAAGCAAATTGCAGAAAAATGTGCTTTGGGCCCAGATTTATTTTTTAGGGGAGACGAATCCCAAACTTGAGCATGTTGGAAACACACTCTGTCACTGAGCCGCGTCTCATCCCCACCCCCTCCATGTATCTGAGGTGTGAAGGAGACTTAATAACAGCAAGACCCTGGTTCAGCTACGTGGAGACAAAACAGCCCGACTCTTTGGTTGGTTGGTGATCGCTTACAAAAGCTAATCCCGGGACCCAGGTATCCCACTCTTAAGAATTTGCTCAAGAAAAAATGAAGACTTGTCCACTGATGTTCGCAAGTAGCTTCACTCATGACAGCCTCCAGGAGGAGACACCCACCCGATCCTCCCAAGTTCGGGGAGGCCCGGGGGTTCAGCGCACTGTGGAGCACTACTCAGCAATAAAAAGGGACAGGCGGAGGGAGCCTGGATGACTCTGAGCGCATTATTAATGCCGAGTGAAAGAAACCAGACTCCGAGGAGTACACATGGGCCATGTGACTCCAATTAGGGCGCAGGCAAAACTAATTCATGGCGACGGACATCAGAGGGGGGGTCGCCGTGGGTGGGGGCTGGGCATCACTGGGAGGGGACCCAAGGGGAATTTCTGAGGCGATGGAAATGTTCTCGGTCTCCATTGGAGGGCTGCACACACGGGCGTGACCTTTTGTCAAATCCATCAACCCCCTGCTTCAGGTCTGCGCGTCGCTGTGAGTAAAAGTCCCCTAATCATAAAACCCGGCATGTTCCGTGCGAGTCTGTGGAGGCTGGGAACGCAGGTGATTTTCATTTTCTCCTTGGGCTCCTCTGGGGTTTCCGGGACTGGCCATGCGCACACACAGGGCTTTGGAGAGAGCAGGACAGAAGTTTTAAGGGTCACGTGGCCTGCACACTTACAGACCAGAACTCGCACCTCCTGTCGATCTTTATTTGTCTTCTGAGGAGGTTTTTCTTTCTTTCTTTTTCTTTTTTTAAGAAGGAGAGGAAGGGGGAGGCCGCGAGTGGAGGCTACCGGTGCTCCCCCGCAGGCCGGCTCCTCCGCGAAGTCCCCCTGGGTTTTCCTCCCACCCGGGCCCTGCGCGCTCTGCGGGGCTCCTGGCCGCGGGCTGGGCAGGTCCCTCTCCGTCACTGTCACCACTAAACCGTCCCGGGCTGATGGGGGGCTAAGGGGGAACCGAGAGGGCGACCTCGCAGCCCCGGGTGGGAGGCCCTGCGTGGAGTCCCGCGGCCTCTGCCCCGGGAAGGCCGGGGCGGCCGTCCCGGGGGGAGGTGGCTGCGACCTGCGGCGGACCCCAGCGCCCCGGGGCCGGGGACCGAGCTTCGCCCCCGCCACTCGCACCGTTTCCGGCTCTGGCGACACAATAGAGTCTCGCTGCGGCCCAGGAAGCGTCTGCAAAGTGCCACCCGGAGGCCGCGCGGCTCGGAGGCTGCATCGGGGACGCAGCGGGGGCGCGGGGAGCCGCGGACTCCAGGGGCCACGCGGCCGGAGGCTGGGCGGGGACCTCAGGGACAGAGCCACGCCGACGCCCCCGGAGGGGACCGCAGGGACAGGGTGCTGTGGGGTCCTGGCGCTTCTCCGCGGCCCCACTGGTAGCACCCCGAGCCCTAGCGGGCGCCCTGTTTCCTCCTCGCTCTGTGACCGCGGGCAACTTTCTTCACCTCTCTGGTCTCGGTTTCCTTTTCTACGAAATGGAAAGAGTGACGGGCCAACCTCGCAGGGGGGCTGGGAGGAGTCGGCGACTTCACAGGCAGGGCTCGGTGTCCCCTGGAAGACGCCCCGCAGGGTCGTTTTCTGTCACCAGGGCCGCCCCACAGCCCTTTAAAAACCCAGTGGGGCTGGGGCTCAGCGGTAGAGCGCCTGCCTGGCGGGTGCGGGTGCGGCCCTGGGCGCGATTCTCAGCGCCGCCTAAAAATAAATAAATGAATGAAATAAAGGTCCATCAACATCTAAAAATATATACATTAAAAAAACAAAAAAACAAAAACTCGAGTCACCAGGGCCGCGCCACCCGAGAGGCTCAAGAGGCTGAGGCAGGAGGATCGCAAGTCCAAAGCCAGCCTCAGCAACTTAGTAAGGCCCTGGGCAACTCAGCGAAACCCTGTCTCTAAATAAAAAAATACAAAAAAAAGGGCTGAGGATGTGGCTCAGTGGTGAGGGCCCTGGCTTCAATGCCGGTGCACAAACAAACAAACGAACAAACAAAAAAACCAAGTCTGATGGTGCTTTGCCCTTCAATCCCTATCAGCTGCACTTTGGATACAACCGGACAGTTCCGAGGAGGACCCTGCGCCCTCCCCACAGGCCCTTCCGACTTCCCCCTCCTCGGCTCTTCTTTCACTGCTACCTCCTCCCCGGCTCCTTGCTGCTCCTGGAAAATCACAGATTCAGCCCAACCCCAGGGCCTTTGCACTTGCCGTTTCCTCTGGCTGGAAAGCTCTTCTTTCCTTTTCAGAGCTGAGAATTTGAATCTCAAAAAATTCTCTTCAGTATTGAAATCACAGCTGAATTATCCCTTCTCCGTGGCACCTCCCCAGTCCCCCCACCCCGGGCCGTGGCATGGGCCTCCTGCATGGTTGTGTGTTTGCTATGGAAGCTTCACAGGGTTGGAACTTGGCCTTACTCCATTCACCCGTGAAGGCAGGTAGGGACAAGTTCTTCCGGGGAGTTAGGCAGGTATTGGTTCAAGTTCCGAGATGTTTTTGAGGTGCTTGTAGGATTGCTCAAGAGGATGTCAGCTAAGTACCTCCCAGGGGTCTGGAGGGATGCTGAGGAGTTCCAGCCAGGAGGCGTGCTTCTGCCTAGTTCACCCTATGCAGGATGCATCCCACAAGATGGCTTTGCCACTAAGAAATGATGACCACACCCAGTGTGGCTTCATCAGTGCCTTGAAGTAGAGCAGTCCTAGGGTTGGCTGATCAATTCAGCAACTCACCAGCAAGTGTCAAACATCTAGGTTCTTTCCATCTTTTCTTGTGATGGCACAGTCTCTCTCATGGACCCAAGATGGCTGCCACATCTCCAGACACTGTGCTCTTACAGCAGCATCCACAGGTCAGAACACAAGAGGTCGATTTCTTTCCGTCTATTCTGTTTCAAGAGGGAAGAAAATTTTCCCTGAAGCTTTCCATAGACTTCCATCAAATCTTACGGTTAGAAATGTCCTTGATTGGCGAAGACCTTAAGATTTGCCCACTGGGGAGTAGGAAGGGGTTCCTTCTCTCCAGTTTGACCTCACACGGGTCAAACCTGGGCTTTCCACAGGGCGAGGGGGAACTGTGCTTTGGTGACCAGTGGTGTCTTCTGTGGGTGTAGACGATAAAGCCTGAGTGTGCTTCTGCTGTTGGGGAGGTACCAGGAAGTGGCAGGGCCAGGAAACGGGGGGGGGCACCTCGTCTTGCTGCGAGCCTGCTGTAGGGGAAGGCCGTCACTGAGCCAAGCGCTGCACAGTGCTGGAGCGAGATAGGGTGGCGGAGCGGCCGCCGGACAGGGAGTCCAGGTCCAGACCAGGACCTCGATCTGAGCAGCCGCGGTGGAAGGAGGGTCTCCCTGGAGCCCGCGCCCGCATGCCCTGTGGCTGCCCGACTCCGCGCCCCCAGTGTCATCTGGATTCTGAGAACCGCTTCCTCGCTGGTCCCGCATACCGAGGGGGCCACCGAGGTGCCCCATGAGGGAGCAGCTCGGCACAGCTGCCCTCCGGGAGGCAGAGTGTGCGGGTTGGAATGGAGACGGGGAGGAGCCTCTCTGGGCCTTAGCTTTGCCTCTCAGCATCTGTTCCTCTTCTTCTCCCTCTTTTTTTGTGGTGCTGGGGACTGAGCCCAGGGCTCCGAACATGCCAGGCAGATACTCTACCAACCAAGCTACATCCCAGCCCCCCTAGTGCTGAGGCCCCAGTTCACCTTTGGGGACCTGTACCCACCCTCAGTCCATAAGGTTCCAGTGGGACTCACCCTTCCTTGCTAGCAGGAGACACCCGGATCAGGCCTGGTCATTCAGTCAGTGATTGAGCATGTTCCAGTCCTGGCCCCTCCGATTCAGCCTTCCAAGACAGATCCTGGAGAAAGAGGCAGTCCCTTTGAGCACCTGGATCCATCTGTGCCTGAAGCTAAATAGACATTTTACTTAGATGCACCAATATATTCCCTGTTTTGCCTGAACTTGAGTTGGGTTTCTGCCATTGCATCTTAAGGATCCTTGACAATATGGAAAAGCTACTTGAGGGATGAGTTCTGAATGTGGAAATTAGAGAGTTAAGGTTGACCTAAGAGGTGTCTTCCTGGGAGGAGAGTGGAGCTTCTTAAGATGAGGCAAAGGTCAGCCCCATGGTGCACACCTGTAATCCCAGCTACTCCAGAGGCTGAGGCAGGAGGATCACCACAAATTTGAGGCCAGCCTAGGCAACGTAGGGAGACCCTGTTCCAAAGCAAAGGGGAGGGGGGCTAAGAACGTAGCTCAGGGACACAGCACTGGCCCAGCATGCCGAGGCTCTGGTTCAACCCTCAGTGCCCAGGGGACGGGGAGTTAGGCAGGATGGGAAACAAACACTGCATCATTATTCAACAGATGCTCCTTGAGGATCGTCGATCCATTTTCTGCTGCTATAATAGAATACCCGAGGCTGGGTACTTCATAAAGAACAGAAAGTTCTTGGGCTCAAGAAGGCAGAAGCTTGCTTTGATGACAGATCTACTCAGGACACCTGGCTCACTCCTGTGGTGACAACCTGAACCACTGGGAAGCACAGAGCCCTGCCTCCCAACACTGACACCGAGGACCAAGGTCCAGCACGTGAACTTGGGGACACAGCCAGACCTCACCAAGGACCACGCGGCGGAGCTCTGGCACCTTCTCACGGTTCCGGAATCGGCTCTGTCCACGGGACCAGGCTGGGGGCGTCGAGCAGTCGCCCACGTGGAAACGACGTCACGCTGCACAAAGAAAGCCACCAACTGATTGAAAGGAGCAGCGTGGGAACTTCCGCGGGACTGCGGGAGCGGCGTCCAGGTGCAGCGTGGTCAGCAGAGGGTCCATCGCATTTGCAAATCCGAGTGCAGAGCTTCGGAGCTGGCCTTTGAGATCAGATTTGCGGCAGGTCCTGGAAGAAGGGGAGGTGCTGGGGGGTACCGCGGCCCCTCACCCTCTTCCCCCTGTTGAGTCGGGTCCGACGCCCAGGGAGGGAGTCCTGGCCAGCCCTGGACAGCTCCCGAGGTCGCTGCTGGAATCCAGGCGCCCAGGCCTGGCGGGTCTGCAGTCGGAGGCAGACACTCGCCTGCATTTTAAGCAGAGCTCCACAAGAGCCTGACTCAGGCCCAGTGGAGCGGGACAAATGAAAACTCGGGAGGGAAAGACGGATTAGTCACCGGAACAGTTCGCCTTTGAGAATGGAGCCCCCACGGTTGCCCTCCTTCCTCAGCAAGAAGTGGATGCCACCAGGGACGTGGGATAAAGCCTGGCTGGCGGGGGCTGCCACCGCGGGGGGAGGGGGGGCTCAGTGGGGCCGAGCCTGGACTCCGCTGGTGCCCTGGTTCTGTTGCGCAGGTTGTCCACTGCTGACCCCCGCGGAGGTGTGAGGCTGTGTGTGGCCCCCTCTGCGTTTTCCTGTCTTAGTACGTAAGACAGGAAACAAGGCATGACTACTACACAGACTTGAAGAGAAGACACCTCTTTCTCAGCTCAGAGATCAGCAAACTACAACCCGGGGCCACTGTTTTTATAAAGTTTTATTGGAACGTGGCCACGCCCACTCATTTACAGATTGCCTGCGGCTGTGTCAACAGTGCCACCGCAGCCTGGGCTGCACAGAAACTGTGTGATCCATAAAGTCAAAATACGCACCATCCGCCCCTGTTGGGCTCTGGTCAAGCATATGACAAGGGTCAGCCACTGGGCGCGACAGAACTCGTCCTCGTAGTCCTGTTGACAGGGAAGGGCACGCTCAGAATCTCAAGGACGGTCAGGAGCCAGCCTCAGGGGCCAGGCCACCAGAGCCACAGCCGGAGCCTTCCGAGGGATGGCGCCAGACGAGACCCAGTGACAGCCACCCTGGCCCCCCGCAGGTGTGTGCCCTCGGGCTCCTGAACACCAGGGCCTCTGAGGTCGCAGCCCCTGGCTGTGGCCTCCTACCTGCTACAGATGCACAGGGACACTGTGGAGGGCTCACGATGGCCTCGCTCCAGGGCTCTGGGGCAACAGTGCCCAGCGGAGGCGGGCAGGAGGGGAACACGGCCTTGTTTGCTTGTTCTGGTTCAAGTTCACATTGGCCATGGTGACGGTGGACCCAAGGCCCACACCCAACGGAGGGGTCACTGCCGCACAAGGGCCGGGGGCACGGCCTGGCCTGCCATCTGCTCCCCAGGCAGCATTCAGACCGGTGGCCTCTGCCACCATGAAGCCACTCAGGGGCCACCGTCCCAAGCAGCTCGGAGGGAAAGGAGGAGGAGGAGCCGCGGGGAGGCTGCAGGGCCAGCGCCGAGGAACCAGCCTCCCCCGCGGGTGCCCAGGGCCAGCTCCCGGGCCCCTTCACCTGCGGAGGAGGCCGGAGGTGGGCCCCCAGTTGCCCAGGACCAGAAGGAAGCCCCCCGGGGCAGCGCCGTGGCTGAGGGGGTTGTGCACCCCCGACACAGCCGAGTCCCACCGCCCAGAGCAGCGACGGCGACCTCGCCAAGGCCGGGCGGAGGGGGAAGAAGCAGGAGCTCGGGGGCCTTGGGTGTAAAAACGGAGAAACACATAAAAAGCAGAACGTCTCCGTCTTCATGTGCTTTTTACCACGACTATTTGGATACACGTAGATCCAAACAAATGTATGGCAGATGGACGAGAGAACACTCTGGAAATATCCCCGCGTGGGTGTCTGTGGGGAGAAGGGAGCAGAGGAGTGGGGCGGGCCAGGGAGGCAGGAGTAAGAGGGGAAGGAGGGAGAAGCCACAGGCCAGGGGCCATGCTGCCTGCCAGCCCAGCAGGGTGGCCCTCTGCCTGGTGCATCTGCTGTCCACGTCGAGAGGGGGAAGCCGCACAGCCAAGCCAAGCAGCCGGGCACGGAGCTCACTCCTGTAGTCCCAGCGGCTCCAGAGGCTGAGGCAGGAGCATCCCAGGTTTGAGGCCAGACTCAGAAATTTAGTGAGGCCCTAAGCCACTTAGTGAAGCTCTGTCTCAACATGAAAAATAACAGGGGCTGGGGATGTGGCTTAGCAGTCGAGCAGCCCTGGGTTCAATTCCCAGCACTGCACAAACAGCACCAGCAAGAAAAAAGTGTATAAGGAAAACAGATCCTACAATTCCATTCCCTAACGTGAGTGCTCTTGCTATTCACACACACACACACACGTACACACACGTACACACATATGTACACACATTGACAGTATTAGGATCACAGTCTACAGGTAATGTGTCTATTGGGAGTTTTTATTTTAATAATTTAGTACATATGATTTATATTCTACTCCTTCACTCCTCATTTCCCCCGTTGATCGTGAGCATTTTTCCTATTTCACGAAGTAGTCTTTGGGCAGACTTTCCAATGGCTAAATAACTTTCCACATTGCAGACACGCCATGCGGGATTCCAGTATTTAATACTAGTGAGAACACAGGGCTATTATAATGATGCTGCAGTGAACATCTTTGTGCATTAAAGTTTGCCAGACGGAGTGATTATTTCTGTAGTTTAGATTACCAGAATGAAAACAGGCAGGGGACATGAATGTAGGTGTGTATATATGCATGTACATATGTATTTATTTTTAAATGATTTTTTAGATGTTGATGGAGCTTTATTTTATTCATTTATTTATATGTGGTGCTGAGAATCGAACTCAGTGCCTCACACACGCTAGGCAAGTGCTTTACCTCTGAGTCACAACCCCAGCCCTTGTATATATTTATTTTTAAGGCTTTGGATGCATGTTTAAATTGGGAAACAGAATACAGACAAAAGTGCTTAAACATAAAACATAACACAAAAATTCCCATGACACACCATGCAGGTGAAGAAATAGAACATTGCCCAGGGTACAGCTGTGTACACACTTGTGATCCTGGTGACTCAGGAGGCTGAAGCAGGAGGATTGCAAGTTTGAGGCCAGCCTCAGCATCTTAGCCAGACCCTGCCTCAAAAAATGAAAATAAAATAAAACAAAAAATTAAAAGAACTGGGGAAACAGCTCAGTGGTAAAACACCCCTGGGTCTTCCCCAGCACTAAAAATCAAAGGAAGAAAGTTGCCAGACAGCAGACCCCTCAGGCCCCTGAGTCTCGAGGCCGGTGCTCCCCTCCTTTCCTGATAGATCTGCTACCCCCTGCGCACCCTGGGCGCTGTGGTGTAACAGGGCTTTGAGCTCTGTGTAAATGGACTCATCCACAAAGTGCCCTTTCCTGCCTGGCTTCTTAGCTCAGCGCTGATTCTGAAGTCCCCACCCCCCGCCACTGCGTGGAGCTGGGGGAGGCTTCCCGCCCACGTCCTCTGTTTTCTCTGAATCCAATCCGCATCAGGCTCACACTTCTGAGGACCTAACCCCGGTGGTGGGCAGGGAGCCCTGTTCCCGTGTATTTGAGCATGTTGGGGTCTGTGAGGTCTTGTTGTGACCCCAGCGTCCCGTGGAGACCTGGCAGACAGACCTGGCTCCTAATGTCCTCATCTGCCCCAGGAGGAAGCTGAGGCTCTGAGGGAGGGGACCGTGAGGGTGGCCCTCTGCCCGTTTCCACCACGAGAGGAAACACGAGTGTCCGCTGCTCCGTCCGGTTATCCTAAAGTGACCAGGGAGCTCTGTGAGCAGCTGGGAGTGACCGTCGATGACACCCGTCCTTGTGGGCTCACGGCCTGCCCAGCCCTGGACGCTGTGTGGCCGGGCCTCGCCTGTTCTCTTCTCCAGCACGTCCCCTCCCCACATCTCCCCCAGGCGCGGCTTCAGCTGTCTCCTGACGATGCTAAGGTGACGTGTCTGGGCCACCGCTCCCGAGCCCACCCAGCGCCTCCACCCGACATCTAAGTTGACATCCAACGCCTCCCCATCTTCCCCACCCACGCGGTCCCGTCCTGGTGGGTGCCCAGCCCAGCCTTCCAGGCCTGCAGACCCACGCCTGGAGTCGCCTGTGACCTCTTCCACCCTGGGGTTTGGAGCCCACCCGTCAGTCAGCGCCGTCATAGCGTGGACGGCTGCGGTGCCCTCCCCAAGGGTCTCCCCGCTTCCGACCTGGCCGTCTCCTATTCCTGGGTGTCAGACTGCCCCATCCACAAATTGGCGGGAAAACCGGTGTAATTCCAAATCAGTTTTGGAGGGAGACGGGATCGTGTGTTTTAAATCGTCATCTTGAGAGCACTGAGGCCGGGAAGGGCTATGGTAAAAGGCGGCAAAGCGGCACAGCAGGCAGAGGGGCAGATGCAGACGGAGCTGCCTGTCGTGTCTGTCACGTCAGCAAGGGCTCAGCGTCGCGTCCCCGGCTGCTCAGGCCAGGGTGGGCAGCCCTCAGCCCCCGCTCTCAGCGTGGAGCCTGAGTGTCCGGGGAGCCTGTCTCCGGGGAGCCCCAGGATCCTGTTGGCACCTCAGGCAGAGTCCTTCCCCTGTTGAGAGCCTCCCGCCTCCTGGGGCCACCTCCAGGCTGTTCCCTGGCCTCCTGCTGGCCTTCCCTGGCCGCCCCAGCCTCCTGCCCTGTGCTGCTGTCCTCCTGCAGGCCCACCTCTTGCTGGGGATGTCACCTCCTCGCCCCCTGGAATGCTGCCCCAGCCCTCCCGGTCATCCCACTCGTTTCTTGTCCTTGACCTGGTGGACCCGGCCTTTTTACGGTTTCTACCGACGACGGACTCTCTTCCCCAGGACGCCCGCCGCTCCGACGTGCTTCGTCTGTTTTGCTCGCTGGTCTCCTGGAGCCTGGGGGGAACCACACGTTCATGGGGAGGGTTTTCTCCACGGGGAGCCCGTGAACTTGGGGTTAGTTCATTCCTTCCCTCATTCAGCCACAGCTTCCCGCCTGGCACTGCCCCAGGGTGCGGGGACAGGATTCCCACAGCCACCTGTGTCACCTGCGGGGTAGAGCCCTGTGGCCTGGATTCAGGTCAGACACACCAGGGTGGCCAACTTCTGACCAGGGAGGCGGGAGCAGAAGTGACTCACGAAAGTGTCTGCTCTTCCGCAGGACCGCCGTCCCGTCCCTTCCCTTTTCTCTTCCTGCTGGCTGGTTTGTGGCGCCCATGTGGCCATCTTGGCCGTGGTGAAGATGGCTGAAGCCCCAAGCTGGAGGGTGCGGGGGATCCCACACGGTGGGGCCTCCGTACCTGTCCTAGGTGGCTTAGACTTGGGTGCAACATGAGGACAGGAACTTCCTCTGCACAGAATCCTCACTGTTTGGAGTGGACGCCCTCTAGCCTCTGTCCCCACGCAGTGACCTTCCCCCAGCTCTTGTCTGTTTTCTCATCAGTAAACCAGGGATGACCGCCATCACAGTTGCCATGGAGGGCAGGCGGGACGAGAGCTCAGGGTGGGTCTGGGGCCCCTGAGCACGGGGAGCACTCCCAGGGAGCGTGACTGTGGCTGGCACTCCCCGCTCTCCCCTAAGGATGGGATCCGTGCTGGAAATCTGGAAGCCGGCCCGAGCCCGAGTGGCGTTGGAGAGGGTGTGGCTGTTTGTGTTTCTGCTGGCCCAGAGGACTCTGTCGGCTCCCAGTCAGTCTCCGTGGGCACTGCCAGGTGTCTGGATTGGGACTGCACAGCCCTAATTTTGTGCTTTCAGTCCAGGAAACAAAATGGAAAAAGAAAAGAAAAACCCAGACACATGAGTGTGTGTCCAGCATTGTCTGCTGAAACCATCTGGCCTTGCTGGCTGCGAATTTCAAGACGCACCATCCAGGTCGATCTCTGCCCTCGACTCATGTGCAGAATTCACCTTCTGTGCACCACTGTCTTTCCGAGCTCTTTTCTTCTCCTTTACCCCCCAACCCAACCTTCGGTTTATGAACCTGGGTCTTTGCTCCACTGGGAAAGGGACCCGGTGGAGATCGCACCCCCTGGGACATCTGCATCTTAAAAGAGAAGCAGAAGCAGAGCTTCTGTGATGGTCCAAACCGGGAAGTTATTAATAATTATGCTGAGACAACAGCCTGCTGTGGGGTTGTCTGTCTCAGGCAAACTGGGGTGTGCGCTCGGCTGTCCATACGGGGATCGTTGCTCTAAGTGGGGAGCAATCCACAGAAGGGGATGGACAGTGATTAGGAGGCTTTTGCTGCATCTTGGTAGGGTCTCGTCAGGGGATAAGGAACTGTCTGAGGTTTCAACTGACTTAAATGACAAGGAAAATTACAACACAACAGGTCCAGAGGCAGGCGGTTCCACGTGGGTTAATTCAGGAGCTCGGTGACACCACAGCTACGGGTTCTGTCCCTCTGTTATTCTGCATCTTCCATCAGTCAGCACTGTCCTCCCTGATGGTCTCAGACCCAAGTGGCCAGCACACTCTGGGCATCTGGGCTTCACTGCTCAGAACAGCTGACAATCAACCAAGGGTCAGCAGCACTCGAAGCACTTTAGATCTGGGAAGTCTTTTCATCTGCACAACCACCCTGTGAGGGAGGAACTCATCTGCCCCGTTTTACAGACCAGGATCATTGCGGCCTGGAAAGGTGAAGTCACCTGCATAAAAACCACACAATTAGGAAGTGGTCGGGCTGGGACTGGAACCCAGCAGCTGGTTTCTAGAGCACAAGACTGTCCACGGATTGGCTGAGAAGGCACGCATGCCAATGACAGAGGGGCAAAGTCCCAGCTCTATTCCCAGTGTTTTGTGGCACCAATATGATTTGGCAAAGCTCTGGATTCCAGCTTCATCTGATATCTATCAAGCTCCAATCAGATCTGGAACCACAGCCCTTTGGAGAGAGAGCTGCTTCCAACAGCAGGGCTATCTTTGGGAGGTTGTTTCTTTCCTTCCTTCCTTCCTTCCTTCCTCCCTCCCTCCCTTCCTTTCTTTCTTTACTGGGAATTGAACCCAGGGGCACTTGACCACTGAGCCACATCCCCAGCCTTATTTTTTATTTTATTTAGAGGCAGGGTCTCACTGAGTTGCTTGGTACCTCGCCATTGCTGAGGCTGGCTTGGAACTCGCGATCCTCCTGCCTCAGCCTCCTGGGCTGCTGGGATTACAGGCGTGGGCCACTGTGCCCGGCTTGAAGAGGGGCTGACGCCGGCAGTCAGAGGCGGCTCTACTGGACTATCTGGAGGAGAATTATATTTCCATCTGAAGCAATGAAGCTAGGTCCGTGTGATCAGCCTTGGGTTCCGCTGTCCAGCTGTTCTGTCCAGTTCCAAGGCCAGTGGGGCCACTTCCCTCTTCTTAGAAAGCTGTTCTAGGTGCTCAGAGTGGGGGTGGGGAGCCTGATATACCAAGAACTCATTTGCATGTGGAAAATGACTGACACCCCTGGGCAGCCAGCAGCTCACTGGGCACCTGGGGAAAAGTCCCTCCCCACCCCCTGCTTTCTCCTAATTAACTTTTCTTGTAGGGGAAGCTTAGGGAGAGGCTTGCAGTCCCAAGGCCACGGAACCTGACAGGGTCTTGTCGGGAACAAGGAACTGACTGAAGTTGCCAAGCAGCGGAGTCTTCTCCCCCACAATGTGAAACTCGTGAAGCCAGACGCATCGGCATTTCCCAGCCTGAGTGAGGAGCGTGGCAACGGGCTCTAAAATTGTCCCCAGGAGACTCTCCCTCTCCTGTCAGCACTCCCCTCCCCCAGCTGAAGGCTTCTCCTTTTCTGTCTTCACCTTTTCCTACCTCACTGTTGTTTTATGACTTTCCCGGCTGCAGCCTGGCCCAAGCCCTGCCCTGAGAGATCACGCCCGGGACCCAGGGGCTGCCCACCAGAGTCCTGGAGCGGGTGGCTGGGGTGACGGGGAAGGAGAGAGAAGAGGTCAAGGCTGAGGCAGGGACAGGGAAAGAAAGTCCCCCCCTTGGGCTTGTGGAGCTGCTCTGTGCCAGGATCAGCTGGGGGCCCACTGATCCCAGCAAGAGTGGGGACCCTGGGTAACGGGGCCCGGGGTGGGCAGTGACCTGAGCCTGTCTCCCAGCACGTCCTCTGTGGGCCTGAGGGAAGCCAAGGATCTGGTTTATTTGTTGTTTATTTGGTTATTCCCCTTCGTCCCCTGCTCTGGACTGAAGGGCGGGACCTACTGGTTGTCTTTACTGTGGTGCCCTCGCTGGCGCACAGTAGGTGCTCATTATGTACCTGCCGAAGGACAGAAGCAACTGGCTAAGTCCTTTTAGTCCACCGTCCCCTGCTGGAGTCACAAGGGTGCCGAGGGCCTGAATGCGGTGGGCTGTCCCCTCTGCAGTCTGGGCATGTCCCCCAGGCCCGGCAGCAGACGCCTGTGGCACACGCTTTAGGTGTCCCCCAAGTCGATCCCTTCTTGCTTGACAGCAGAGCCCCGAGTTGTTCTGGCAGCCACGGCCCAGGAATGAAGCAGGTCTGATCTAAGTCAATGGTGGCAGGCTTTGCTCTCCGTCAGGGAACATGCAAGAGTGGCCACATGGCCCAGCTCTGACCTGCTGGGGCCTTGAGGCTCTTCCCTGATAAGACAGGCACAGAGCAGTCAGCAGGGCCTTTGTCCTTGTCCTTCTTGCCATGGACTTGCTGTGTGAGAAGGCAATGGTGCCCTTTCAGCAGCTATCTTGTGACTCTGAGGCCCCAAACCTGGGGAGAAAAAGCCTCCGTGATGGGCACAGCAGGGTCAGAGGTGACTTGATGTTGTCACCAAGTTCTGAACCCACCTTAGGAATACACCTCTTCTAGACTCTTGCTAAATAAGCAATGTCCTGTCTTAAGCCATCAGTAGCCCGTTTCTCCTCCTTGCAGCCAAATGCATCTTAATGGATCAGCACTCAGCCCTCCCCCCACGCACTCCAGGCTCTCCACATCACTCAGGGATCCTGCAGCAACCTTCCATGGAGGCCCTGACGCTCTCAGTTCACAGAGGAGGCCCACGGGCACCAGCCAGCCTTAAGCATCTGATTAAAAGCTGTATCATCTTTCAGAGGAGGATGGGGAAAAATCCCAGAGGAACCCAGGGAGTGAGAGGGTGGGCAGGACACGGGCACAGGCCCAGGATGGTCTCAGTCACAGTGTGGGAAGGTCCAGACATTCTTTTTGGGGGCGTGGGTCAATTCTTCCGCGAAACATGGGATTTTGGTGTGAATTTGACACTAGCCCTCCCTGGCTGAGAAGGGGACTGACATCCGCTGAGCACCTACTGTGTGCCAACAGTTTGTGTAAGGTTCTTTATCAGTGGTTCTCGACAGGGGGCAATTCTATCTCCCAGGGGACAGCGGGCAGTATCTGGGGATGGTTTTGGCTCCCACACTGGGGAGGGGCACTACTGGCCTCTAGGAGGTACAGTACGCTGCCTATTGTCCTAGAGGCACAGGACGTACCCCGACAACAGTTATCTGACTTCAAACGTCAACAAGGCAAGGTTAAGAAGCTCTGTACATGTGTACAGTGTGGTCTCCCAGACCCCCTCTTTACAAACTGGAAAACTGAGGCTCAGAGAGGCATTAGGACCACCCCAAGGTCACACAGCAGAGCTGTTCCAGAGCCCTTTACCACTTTGTGAGGAATCCAGGGAACAAAAGGCCAGCCACCTTTGGACACAACTGGTTCCAGGACCCACACCCGAGGGCTCACCACTGACCCCCTTTCCTCAGTACACCTTCAGGCACCCCAAGGCCAGATGGGATGCACCTGCTCTGGGAGGGCAGAAGTCACCATTCTCTCCTGTGTCTGTAGGCACTTGCAGTGTCTACCCTGAGGCCACCAGGAGAACAATCCTAGGCATCTGGAATCGAGATAAATAAGCAATAATGTTCCTGCCCCGAAGATGATTATAGTTCAGAGGTGGCTATTACGTGATTCAGCTGATCTACCTCAGAGAAAATACAGTCTTCAGCTGGCAACTGGGCGGTCAGTGGTGCACGGGCAGCTCAGAGAGGGGTCAGGCCCAAGGGCAGGTCACAAATGCAGTAGTGATTAAGAACAAACGCTGGCAGAGAACTTTCTAGGTGCTGAGAGCTGTTCAAGTACTTCCCACTGACCGACAGGCCCTAGGAGCTGGGTGCCACCCCTACGCCCATTGCACTGAGGGAAACACTGAGGACCCTGATGCTGGACCCAGCCTGGCCAGCAGTTAGCCAGGGAGGGGCTGGGTGGAGCCTGGGGGCTCTGGGTCCTGGGCCCCCTCTTTCCTCACCTGCCTGTCAAGTGGTTCCTTTTATTATCAAGGTCACATTAGACTAGAAGCTGGGATTTCCCAAGGTCTTATCCCGGTGGGGTGCAAGGGAGGAGGAGGGGGCAGGGGACAATGTCTTCTGGGAAAGGTGGGAAGGGCAAGGGTCCTGGAGCAGAGAAGTTCAGACACAAGAGAACAAGGAGGGAAGAGAGAAAAAGAAAGGGAAAGAAAGGAGAGCCAGCTGCTCAAGGTCGTGGCAGGCCCCAGGGCACCCAAAAGGCCCGGGAGTCACCTCCCTGCAGTGGCCGCCCCTCTTGCCCTCTTCCGTCCCGGGGCGGCGGGGACGCTCGTGGGGCGAGGGCGCTGGCTGGTGCAGCTCGCCCGTCACTGTCGCCGCCCGCCCTGCGTGGTGTGCCCGCGCTCAGGAGTGTCGCGCGTAGCCTGCGGCGGGGGCGCCACGCGGCGGGGCGCGGAGCCGGACCCCCGCCTCCCCGGCTCCGCGGGCCCTTCCGGAGGTTCCCGCGCGCGCCCCGCTGAGCTTCCGACGTCGGCGCCGGGCGCGCGGCGCGTCTCCGGGGCCCGCGCGCGCCGAGCGCCTCTGCGGCGGGAGCGCGGCGTGGCACTTGGCAGACGCTCCCTGGCGGCGGGGGCGGCGGCGGCCGAGTCTGCGAGCCCCTCCCGCGCCCCGCCCCCGCCGCCGCCGCGGCCGCTCCGAGCCGGCCGCCCGCGCGCCCCGTCCGGGATGCGGCGCCTGGACGCCTGAGCCCTCGGCGCGAGCTCGGCGCGGGAAGCAGCGGCGCGCGGCCGGGAGGATGGAGGGACCCAGCGGCAGCGACCCCGGCGGCGACGGGGCCGCGGACGGCGCCCACCCCGACCCCCGGGCCCCCGGCGCCGCCGCGCCCGGCCCCGGCCCCGGCTCGTGCGCGGCCGCCCGCGAGTCCGAGCGCCAGCTGCGCCTCCGCCTCTGCGTCCTCAACGAGATCCTGGGCACCGAGAGGGACTACGTGGGCACCTTGCGCTTCCTGCAGTCGGTGAGTCGCCGCCGCCGGCCCCGCCGCCCCGCCACCTGTGGCCCGGCCGCCGCGCCGAGGTCGCCTCGGGCTCGCCGCGCTGCCCTTTTGTCTTTTTCGACCCCTCCGCGCCTTTCACATAGTTTAAAATTAGTTACCTCCGCGGGCTGGGGCTCGGGGACCCCGCGCCGCCGCCGGCCAGCGCCGCGTTGGCCGGGGAACAACTTCGCCGCCCGGTGCACCCGCGACTGCTCGGTGGGACAGATGGCCCAAGCCCCGGAGTCCAGCGTCCCCGGCGCCGGTGGAGGGGATGAAACCCCGAGGAAGCTCGGGGATCCACAGAGCCCCAGGGGACCGTCCCGGCACGGCGCGCGATTTTGCGGGAGCTTCGGGGAGAGCCGGTTTCTAACCGAGGGCTCCCAGTCGAAGCTCTGAACTGTCCTCCCACCCCCAAGTTTGCAAAGCCACACTGTGAAATAGCAGCGAGCGCTCGCCGTGGGCCAGGACCTTACGTGTGTCTTCAGCAGGCTTAACCTTTGCAAGTGGCTCATGAAGTAGGGGCGACTTGTTACCCTCTTTGTAAGATTGGGAGAGTTTAGCTCCAGAGAGGTTGGACAACTTGCCCAGGATCACACAGCTGGTTAAGTTGGGGATGTTGGGCTTCCAGGGCAGTCCCAGCTAGGGCTTTAAACTCCCATTCGAAGCTCCCTTTCTTTTTTCTTCTGGTGGTGGGGGGCGGGGGAGGAAGAGGCCACTTCCCTACCCTCCTAGGAAGTGAGAAAAGTGGCCAGGGGTGGTGGGGGTGGGACGGCAGAGCCTGGATGGAAGTTAGAGACTCCAGGGCTTTAATCTCCAGGCCTCCTGCTGGGTCCTCATTTACTCCCAGTCTGGGCTCTAGGAAGTCTTAATCCTAGTTTAGGGAGGGCTGGTGCCGGGCTGGTGGCAGCTCCCAGTCTCTGGGGTGAAGAGGGACCTTCCAGGGCGGTTGGGGTGCAGTGGAGGCTGTGTGAGAGCACGGTTCCCACTCAGGGATGCTGGAGCGCTGCAGCCCTTCTCCCTGTGAAAGGCCCTTGAGTAGGGGGAGGGGTTTGTGCACAGGTACTGCAAGCCCTTTGGCCAAAGGACCCTTCTAGAAATGACTGTAAGAATAAGGCAGGTTGGCTGTCTTTCCCATCTCTCCCTGTCACAGTTCATACACACACACACACACACACACACGCACACGCACGCACACGCACGAGTCTCTTCATTTGAAGCTGGCAGTTTCTGAATTAAAGATGCAGCAGCCTTGGCATTGCTAAGCAATGTCAGATTCTAGGGAACTCCTCACTTCTCCCTGTGAGCCACTCCCTGCTCCTTAGTCTGGAAGAGAAACAGGAAACAAACCAATTTTTATATTAATGGGAAAGAAAATATACTGCTCCCTCCCGCGCCCTTGCTTGATGGTGCCGTTCGTTTCAGACCAGATATAGAGTGTGTTGTGTTGACTGTGGTTTTAGATTGTCCACGTGTGGAGTCCCAGGAAGCTGGAATAATGGAAATTGATTGGAGTCAACATTCTTGATATGGAAGAAAGGGTCCCTTGCGCACCGTGTCCGGGATGCTCTGAGCACCTCTCGTTTGCCCATCGCAAGGCCTTTTCTGCCTCGTCTTCCCCACCTGTAAACAAGAGGCCGCGAATCTGGTTTTCTTTGCTGCCTGTCCTTTTGTGTGCCCCCAAGCTGGTGCCAGGAGCAGACTGATTGTGTAACCTGAGCAGCCAGACCTCGCTTGGGAGCCAGGGGCCTCTCCTTTGCCCTTTGGGAATGGCCCCTCGGTGGCCTTTCATCTTGGAACCTGGGGCTTAGCGCTGCAGGGCTCTCCTGGCAGCGGGCTGGTGTCCTGCGGGTTGTGCTCGTCTCCTGCTGCCCTCTGTCCCCTCAGCCTTTACACTTGCTAAGGGATCCCCTGCCTCCTGGCATGGAGGGCTGTGGGGCTGTCCCTGGCTGCTCTCAGATCCACGTGGCAGAGGCAGGCCTTACAGGGCCACCCTGGCCTTCTTGTGTGCCAGGGGCACGAAGCCTGCCCTGAGCGCCGTGGGAGAGGTGGGGAAACTAGGCCTGGGCCCTCGAGGAGCAACATCCAGCCCAGGTGACAGAATCCAAGTCTGCCAGGTGTGGTGGCACACACCTGGAGTCCAGCACCTCGGGAATCTGAGGCAGGAGCATCGCGGGTTTGAGCCCAGCTCCAACAACTTAGTGAGATTCTGTCTCAAAATAAAAATAAAAAGGCTGGGGATGTAGCTTGGTGGTAGAGCGCCTCTGGGTCAATCTCCAGGACTGCAAAAAGCAAAACCCACCACCAACAACTAAAGTCCAAGTCCAAGGCCGGACTCCAGAGCCAGGCTGCCCAGGTGGAGTCCTTGGACTTGTGACCTCAGGCAAGCTGGTGTCGTCTTTTTGAGTCTTGTTTTCCTTATCTGTTGGGGGTGGTGATGGGTCCTGAGTGACAGTTTTATGAGAGGATAAGTCAGTATAAAGCCTGGAGCAGGGCCTGCCAGGCCGTAAGACTCTAGTTATTGCTGTTATGTGATGACTGAGCAAATCGCACAGAGGACCCGGGCAGGGTGGTCAGGGAGGGCTACCTGGAGGAAGCTGGTCTGAGGACTTGAAGGAAGACGGGCTTGGAGCCAGTTTCCTTTTGACCTCCTCAGGCCGCAGGACCCAGCGATCTCGTGGTCCCGGGCCTGGGCTCCGCGGTTCCTCTGGAGATTCCCTGCCTCCCCCTCCTTCAGTGCTGGACCTCGCCCTCCCACGGCCCAGGGGTTGCTGTCTTGGGGTTTGAGAGTCAAGGGAGGGCAAGGACAGCCCTCTCACGGAGACGCTGGATCTGGCTTGGGGACACCACAGAGGGAGATGGTGCCGGGGACTTGACTCAGGACCCTGGGTTACGCCTTCTGGAAGCCTGGCCGCGTGGGGCACTCCCTGTGTGCTGGTGGACAGCACCAGGCAGGATGGTGACGGACACTTGCTCCCCACTGGGCCCTGCACCTGTGAGCTTGTTTACTCTTCCCTGTCGACAGATGAGGAAACCAAGGCAGAGAGCTGCCCTGGTCACCTGGAGAGTTGCTGCGGGTCCCAGTGCCCATGGCCCTAGCCGCCCCCCTACCACATCCGGCTTACAGTAAGGGCCGGCCGTGGCCTGAGAGCTGTTAGGGAGGCAGAACAGGGTTGGAACCCAGCCCGTGTGACCTTCACCTTCTTGGGCCCCTTCCTGTCACTTCCCCTCTGTGATGCCTGTGCTGTCTTCCGCAGAGTGGGGACAGCTGTGAAGTGTGTCAGGCCGCCTGTCTCCTCTGCGCCCGGGTCTGTTCGCGGCATGAGTTGTGGGTGGCCCCCCGGAGCCAGGATGCTGCTGTGCGAGCCCTGCCCCCCACACTGACCACAGGCCACCTGGGCAGATGGCCACTGCGGTGTGCCTCAGTTTCCTGGTCTGTGCCACGGGCGCCCTGCCTCACCGGGTGTCATGCAGCATGGGTGGCCTGAGGTCAGAGACCCCAGGACGCTGCCAGGCACATGGGGTGCTGGGGTGCCCGGTGGCTTTCTTGGGGATGTGCAGCAGTGGGGGCCACATGAGGTCTCTTTGGGGCTCCTGACTCCGGCTTCAGGAGGAGACTGAGTCTGGGCCCTGCCTGTTGGTGGGGTTGCTTTGGAGTCCCTGCCTGTGAGGGGAGGCTCAGGGCCAGGGGCTTGGGGGCCCCATGGTGGGCGTGCCAGCTGGGCAGGGACAGGAAGAGGGCAAGCATGGGCGGGGCCGTCAGCAGCCTCTGAATGGCTCCCCTGGCTGGGGACAGAGACCTGTTGCTCCCAGGCACCCAGAAGGAACTGGCCGGCCTGGCCGCTGTGGGACAGAGACCTGAGCAGGAAGCTCCCAGAACGTCTGGTTCTGCTTTTGGAGGGCGGAGGCCCACGGTCCGGAGCTCTGCTGCCCAAACCAGAAGCTGCAGTGTTGCTTCGTCCCTTTTTTTTCTTTAAGAAGATTCTGCTCTCCCCGTCTCACCCAGGAGCCCGGCAAGGGCACATCTTTGATTCTAAAGTCACCAAGTCAGAAAGATCACCTAGTGACTGGGGGGATTTTCACGTGGTGGTGCTTGGAACAGGGGTATGAAGTGGGGGATGCAGACCCACTTTGGAAAGGAATCAGTGATCATGATCCTAACTTGTAAGGTTCAAGAGCTTGAAGAGGTCGGAGCGATGTGCATCGCATGGAGAAGGGCCAGGGGGAGGGAAAAAGGAAAAAACGTGCAAAGAAATTTTGCTTACTTAAAATTTCTTTGAATTTTTAAATATCCATTTTGTATAAAA